CCAATAACTAAGTCAACGGCGAAGTACGAACTTTCCTCTTTATATAAAAACATTTTATCAGATCACCGAACGCAGTTTCCTGTTTGAAAATATTAAGAACTATCAATTTGTGCAATGCAATAATATATGTACAGGTGAAAATAAATATAATATATTTTTCAATCAATTATTTGAATTCTTGATTTTATTGATATTTTAGAATAATTATATCAGAAATTGGATAAACTCACAAGTCAACAAATTTAAGTATATTAGTTTAATTTATTTCTAAAACAAATTATTATCTATTTTATATAATATAAAAATGAATAAATAATAATTAATAATTGATCATATTAATTATTTTAAAATAAAATTGTTTTTTCTCGTCTATGTAAGATTATGAATTTTTGGTCATTTTGCATTATTTTTTTTAGTAAATATATGTGTAGTTTTAGGTCTTTAAAATCTTAGCTTTAGTGATGAATTTCTAAATATTCTGATTTCTGTAGCTTTTCTTGTTTCTGGTTTAAACCGTTTTAATTAGTTAGTTTATGATCTTCTAACATTAGCTTAAATAATTATTATCTATTTAACTATTTACGCCAATGTCTAATCAATATTTACATTGTTAAAATACTATTCCTTAAATGTAAACAAACTTTAAGTTCAGTACGTGCCCATCAAGAATTATTTTTTTGTTCTTAATATTTAATATTAATAAAGTAATAACGAAATTAAATCCGGCGTTCTTAATGAAACCCCTATATTACTTTTATCCATTAGTTTATTTACAGATGATTATTTTAAGTATTTTTTAAAACCATTATTCATTTCTGGTAGATTTGGTATTAATTATAAAAAAAATTCAATTGTTTCAAAAAATAAAGGTAATCTGTATAGATATTGTTATTGTATTTTAATTTTAAATTTATAACCATCTCACAAATTCGGTATTCGTCGAAAACATTGAATCCATTATTTTTCGCCATAAAGTTTAAGTTCATATACTCGTATTTTGACAACATTTGATATATAAATAAAAACAGCTTTCATTTATTTAACGATAAAAAAAATTTTTTTTTTTGTTATTTTAAAATTATAAACCGTTGAACTTTCCACCACTGCGCATATTGTTAATGTTTGAAAAACTCATACCTCTTTTTGGTATAAAAATGTAGGATAGAAAATTTATACTAAAAAAGTTTAAATTTATTTTATGTACATATATATTCTATTACTCACTTAAAAATCTTCTACAATATTCCGATGGACCTATCACGTAAACTGTAATAAATGAATAAAAAAACTGCATTATTTGATTCTGTTTCCTTTTTCACTTGATACATCTTATAATATAAATCTTCTTCTTCTTATAATATAAAACCAAAACGAGCTTCTCTTTGTTTCCGCCAGAATGCTCTGGTTTAGTGTACTGGCCAATCGAAAAATTAAAATTTTTTTTAATGCCATCATCGCTTATCTCCCGCCGCCGACGGCCCGTTATCGTATTCGTGCCGTTTTTTCCGCTTTTCGCCTGGTTTTCCGGCCTTCAGAGACCTTTTTCCGTCGCGTTCTCGATGCTACGGCGGAGAGCGGGTCTTTTTCGTCCCGTCCGAGCGCGTTATTTACTCGGCCGAGGCCGTATCCGTCGCCGAGGCAGCCGCCCGTTTTTCTCCGCACAAGTCGGTTTCCGATCGCGCGGAACGCGTCTTTCGCGAGCCGTTCGTCTCCGAATCCCGTCCGTATCCGTTGCCGTCGCGTACGGAAAACCGGAGTACCCTCGGCGTGTTCTCCGGTCTGTTATCGTATCGTCTCGTATACTCCCGTTGCTTTTTCTACGATTCGATAAATCATTTATCTGTAAGGACTAAGGAATACGTGTTGTTTTGTTTTCGGCGTCTCGACCCGCCTCCGCGACGATAGCGTATGAAATACGATTACGCGTATAAAAGAGAAACGTGCGTACCTACCGTTGTTGACGTACGTCAGATATGACGGCTTCTTATTTGTATTATATAAAGACATCGCGAAATCGTTGCTCTTCGGTCGTTGTAATGCCTTTAATCGCATACGATTGGGGGATATCGTGATATGTGTATGTGATAATAAACCGAATATATAGTGAAGACGTATTCGATTAATTAATGTAAAGGAATAGGTACGTTAAAAACACTCTAAACGACAATAAATATGCGATTTACGGTTTCGTGACACGCGAATCGTAAAAATTGTATCGGTTAAACGACGTATAATATAATATTCGTCGCATCTCTAAAACGGTTTATGTGCTCGAAATTCGTTAATAGTTTTCAACTCAAACAATAGTCGATAGGTGTTAGCATTGATTATAGAATAGACAGATAGACAATGGTATAGGGATTTTCGGTGACTAAAATTTTATTTATAATAGCTGCCAATAGGTAGCGTTGTATGAATTAATATTATATTATTAATACTGAGTACTGATGGCAAATAGTGTTAACATATTCTTAGACCGGTTTTTGGCAATGACAGAAAAAGCGATAGGCTTATAAATTACTTTATCGTAGATAAATGATATTTTCCGTGCATCTCACTATCACCACAATATTGTAAAATTATTATTAATTATTATGTTGTGTGGTACACTTGTACGCGACCAAAAAGTAATTATTTATTTTATTACGAAAAATTAATTTATTTTGCAATGCTATGATTCAGTAAAATCTGCTTTGTAAAGAAGTATTATATTACAATTTACATTATACACTACACAAGATTTACCAAATTTTAACAATACAGCAAATTTTTATCCATATCATAGTTTTTATTTTTATTGTATTTTAATACTTAGTGGTTTTTTATAAAATAAAATAAATTATTTTATGTTTAAATTTTAAAAGAAGAAAATCGCAACATCATAAATAATACAATTAATTAAATATTGTTATTATTATTTATAAATAAAATATGCAGTTGTATTTTAATATTGAGTAGGTACATATTGAATATATTAAATTTAGAAACTAACGATAAGTCTGTATGTTTAGCCACGAGGCTCCTACGAATCTGTGGTCGGCCTCGATGACTACACCACCGAAAGATGAACTAGGAATAACCGTGAATAATTGCTTAAAGAGAGGTGACCATACAAAATATAAACATTCGAGTTGTATGTAAAGTATGGATTACACAATTATAATATGACAACGTATAAATTAACGTATCACCAACGACGAAGTGTTGACTGTTTATACAATGATTGATAATAGACTAACAGATATCACAATCACTTTCGTCGTGGTGATAATAATAATAATAAGAATAATAAGAAATAATAATAATAATATTCGACCAAACACGATCTAAACAATCGTGGTACAATTTGTATATATATAAAAATATAAGATATGAAAATAATGACAGTATTTACGTGACTCCGTTCCTATGCCGATGTTGTCGTTGGCAGGTGACCAATTGACGGCGACAGTCAGGCCACTGGTCAGCTGTTTCGTCCTGAGCACGACGGTATAACAACAGGCAACCAAAATAATGATAATAAGATCTGATAGTAGACCACACTTGTAATTCACACACGTCGACCGATCGGTACACAACGGAAGTCGCGTTGTAATGTTATATTAATTTAGCAACAATCGGAACGACAAAGCCTCAATTCTAAACTAAGACCGCAAGACAGTGTATATATATATATTTAAGTTTAGCGGAGTGCGGATGTCGCAACAACGATATATATATATACGGTTCGGAACGCGAGAAGTGTAACCGTTTTGATTTCAAACACAAGAAGACCGACCTATGCGAAGGTAAAAGTCTAAGACGGGCGCACACTTGGACACTTTGACGAAGTTCACAAGACGGTCTGAGGCGGCAACGTGCCGACAACTTGTTACCACGAAGGCGTCGCACGGAGGAGTCACTATTCTTCATGCCGGTGTCTCCGACAACACCCAAAAAATACGCTATTCGAAATTAGTGGCCAATGACCCTATATCACCTGAGATAGGGCAATATCTATACGTAATCTTTACGGCGGTTATAATTCCGTAAAGATACGTGATTGTTAGGGCCGTTGACCTACTAATTCGTTTTTACTGTCGGGCAATCGATTTTAAAATAGCACATAATAGGGTCATCGACCCCAGAAGAGAGGAGTCGCGATTAGGGCGGCATTAATATCTATTTGAAGTTATCGCACTCGATAACTTGCGCGAACACTGTATATTATTATGAAAAACGATTGTCAGTAAAGATAGACCAAAATTACATTATACTGGATTTGTAATAAAATACTAGGTTTAAAGAACAATATTATAATTAAAAATTTAGTAAGAATATTTTCTTTATTATAATTTATAAGATAAACATAAAACAAAGGTAATGTAATTATGTAAATTTATATTTACACATAATTATTAGAATAATAGTAAACTGTGATGTTTATTGGTTCTAAAAAGAACCGTTTTATAAAATTGAAGTAAATAGTACACAAAGTTCTGAAAAAAACTATTAAATGTGAGTCCTATAGAGGACAATTAATACTGCTTCTATTGTTTTATGCAAATAGGTACAATGCCAGAACAAGAAAACATTTATTTCATTTAATTAAATATGGTTAAATATTTTTAATTTTGAAATTTTTGCTAATTTTGAAGTAGTTGAAAATAATTTTGTTTTATTAAATATTTTGCAAATTAAGAGTTATTCAATATGTATATTTTATGATCTATGCAGTTTGTTAATGATTCATCTATCCATTTTTTAACTGTGTTATTATTTTTTACGCGCTCAGTTAGTTGAAATTTTATTTTTTTTTTATGTAAATAGCTTTTATAATTGTTTTCAAAAATATTTAAAATTTTATTTACTACATTGTTTAAACTATTTGATGGTGCTTTAAGCCCATTTTCATTTTCAGTTGAAGTATAATTTTTATTAAGTAAATGCAACTGTTTTTTATCATTTAAGTTTTTATTGACAAATAATTCATTTTGACAGTTGTCACAGTTAAATGTTTTCATACATTTATAACCTAAATATCCTGCAAAGTATGAAATAGAGCAGTGGTCTTCAACCTTTTTGGACTTGCGACCCACATTTTTAGGCCTACATTTTTCGCGACCCACGGAAGCTTTATAAAAAATCGTAAATTGCTTAATGCTTTGCAATAGTACTATTAAAACTGAATAAATAAAAATTACATTTTAATAGGTAGAATGTTATTATTAATTGAAAATGTATAGAATTCATATGAAAATATAAAATAAAATGAAAATATGATACAAAAAATTTAATGTGAACTTTGTCCTTGAGTTTTTTCACATAATAAATTCCATCTTGGCTCAATTTGACTAAGCGCGATCCGTAAATCATTTTCAGTTTCAAGTTTGTTTCTCTTTGATGTTTTCAAATTTGCCATAGTAGAAAATGCCTTTTCACATAAATATGTAGATGGAAATATTAATAAAATTGAGATGGCTTTAGTTGCTAATTCTGCGTAATTTCCCGTGCATAAGTGTGCCCAAAATATTTCTAATGAAGTTTCACAAAACATTTGTTTCAATTTGTTGTTATCACACGATAGCTCAATTAATCGATTTTCAATGTCAGTAGACATATTTACTGTCATTATATCTACTGCGAATGGTTGTTCAATCCACTCATAATTTACACGAATATCCTCAGGAAAATATTGGTTAAATAATTGTTCTAAGTTTGTCAAATGTTCGTTTACTAATTCAGAAATGTCTTCGAACTTGATTGAAGAATCTTCTTCTAAAAACTCACTAACGTTGGTGAAATTATCAATATTTCCAGAAGATACTCGAGCTTTTATAATACGAAGTTTTTTCTTAAATGATTCAATTTTTTTTGTATGATCAAATATGTTAAAAAAATTGCCCTGCATAGACAGATTTAATTCATTGAGTAAGTTGAAAATATCAGCTAAGTATGCCAAAGTAATAATCCATTTTGAATCTTCAAATAAATCTTTGTAGATTGAACTTTTACTATTTAAGAATAAAATTATTTCGTGTCGCAATTCGTAAACTCTTTGAAGACACTTACCTCTTGATAACCAGCGTACTTCGGTGTGTAACAATAGAGATTCATGGAATGAACCCATTTCTAAACAAAGTGTTTTAAATAAACGTGAATTTAATGCATTTGATTTTATATAATTTACAATTTTAACAATTTGTGCTAAGACGTCAGTCAATGTTTTGGGCATTTTGTTTGATGCAAGTGCTTCTCGATGTATAATGCAGTGTGTCCACTTTAAA